ATCTGCTGTGCAGGCGTCCCAGATTCAGCCGCTGCTGAAACTGACCGGCAGCGGCTGAATCAGGGACTCCTGGGGCAGAGCCAGACTATCAGAAGGGAGGGCTATGAGGAGGTCTGGGGTAGCATTCCCCCCACCCCAGCCTAGACCCCTCATAGCCCCCCTTCTGATAGTCCAGCATATCTGATAATCCGGCACCCCCTGGGTCCTAAAGGTGCCGGATTATTGGAAGTTTACTGTATTTTGAAATAATGCTAGTTATTTCAAAATAAATGTTGCTGTGTAGAGGTAGCCTTAGATAAACAAGCTTATTTATATTTATGGTAGATAATGCTGCTCACTTCTCATTTACATTGTCACTTGAAAGTGAGAACAGGTGTTCCTAGAGAACTGTTGGTAGCTAGCATTGCAAGGTATTTCCTCCTGGCTTCCACTTTGCATCCTATACAACTCACAGTGGAAACAATTTCAGGATACATGCTACTTAGCTGAGAACAAAGTACCATAGAATACATCACCAAAATGCTACTTTCTCACTTCATAGCAAGTCACCGCCATGTATTCAGACAATTCATTTGTATACTGCAAATTACAAGGTGCACATCAAATACCTTTGTATTAAACCCCATGTGTAGACATGTGGGTAGTCTACTTGGGCTACAATTCTTATCAGCAATGGATACTCCCTACCTTAGCAGTAGAAATATAACAGAATTTGAAATTTTGTATTTTGGGACTATTGTTTAATAATATAGACACATTGTTAAATTTTCTTTCTCCAGTCCTGTAGTTGAGATGAAACTTAATAATACACAAATATATAAAAAAGAGGAAGAACTGATTTTGTTATATGAATGCAGGACTCCAAAATTTCCTCTTACTTCATATGCTCCAAAGTCAGATTATTTTTCTATTGTAGCAAATTGTATTCTCAGTTATTGCCAACATCTTATATTTTGTTTGCCCTTTTAATTTCTTATGATCTTTATATATATATGCAATTTAGCAAGTCTATTACACTATATTTCTAGAAGGATAGTGAAGGGGAATAATTAATGCTGCTTAATTTATTTGTCTGAGATTCTTCATAAATGACAGAAATATTTGGGAGTAGTTGGTTTACATAAAAGAGTTCTGTTCTTTCTTTTTTCTTTGTTCCTTTCCTCACCCAGATGGCTGAGGTTTGTGATGATCTAAGCAATGTAGAAAATGTTTGCAGTCTTTTGACCTGTTTGTCTTGAAACTCGATTTATCTTGTGTACATACTTGGGGTTTTTTTTCTAAGCATTTTATATTGTTTACCCATGAATTTTTAGTTCCTGATACATTTGTAAATAATTTTTGGAGTGGAATGTTTCATGAAATGTTATGGACACCGGTTCAAATTTTCAACAAAGGCTGGCTAAATGAAAAAAAAATGTGGCAGTAATCTATATTTGTTTCCCCAAAGTGTAGCTTCTTATATGGCAATTTGTTTCCAAGCCTTTGGGAGAAAGGGGCCTTCTTTTGAAACAAAAAAAGTAGGGGTGAGGGAACTAACTGTATTTTTAAAAATTGTAAATCTCCAAAATTTTAAGAAAGTTAAGGATTTAACATGGGCTGTTGACCTTACTTGTGTCTTATTGTGAAAGGAAAGTCTTTCAGGACCCTTAAAAATGTGTCTTCGCATACTATGTCCGAGAAATGTGTGGAATATTACGGGTCTGAATTAAGGACATTAAGAGGCAGATATTTGGTTAATTGTGTAGTTGATACAATTTGCATCGACTACAGAATTAGTCAATAAGGGAAGGAGCTCTGTCCCAGCTTGTGCCAGGTCCAGAAGCTACCCCTGCTGCAGCTCTAGGAGACGGGCACACAGACAGCCCAGTTAACTCCTATATTTATACTGCAGAGCCTCAGTGAGGTAGGTCCCAGACCCGGCGCCAGCCGGGCTTGCTCAGTCCCAGCTCACAGGGGGTGAGGTGGAGTGGGGAGGGGAAGGCGGAGTCCCAGCAGGGAGCTGGGACCACAGCAGACAGGGCTGCTGCCAGAACAGCCTGTGTTCATGCCCAGCCCAGGCCACTGCAGACAGGGGCTGCTCCTCAGGATATGGAGCAGCCTCTGCTTTGCAGCAACCTACCCTGCACTCCCACCACGCGCTGCTGCCTCCGATAGCCAGCTCCCGCCAGCACCAACTCCTGATTCTCCCCCTTGCTGCCTCTGATAGAGGGGCAGCGGGGGGAAGAGGAGAACAAGTAGTCAACTCGATTACTCGCTTACATCCCTACTACACGCATCCCTCTTTTTCCTTCTTTGGCTCTGCCGTAAGTTTTTTACAGAGCTGGCCAGCAGCTTGGTTTAATCCCTGCTCGTGGTGGGTCCCGGGACCTAGCCCCGCAGCGGCTCTGCAAGGAAAGTATTATTGCAGTCGCAGAAGGATAGCTCCTAGGGTCTGGCATGAGCCAGGACGGAGACAGACTGCCTGCCTACCAGCACCTAAATTACTATACATGCAGAGCTGCAGTGTGGGTAGCTCCTGGACCCAGCATCAGCTGGGACTGAGCCATGCTCCTTGCCAGCCAGCTCCTAAAACACTCCTATTGTAGAGCTGCAGCAAGGGAAGTTGCTGGACCTGACACCACCTGGGACTGAGCGCTTGCAGTGCTAACACTTATCAATTAATTGTGTAGTCAACAACATTTTTGTTGACTATACAATTAACGAATTACACACCACCTAACATCTCTAATTAAATATGTGACTGAACTCCTTGGTTGGAGAATTATGTCTCTTGCTCTGCAATTCTATCATATAATTCTTGTTATGGCAGTCTTGGATGACTTTTAAGAACACTTTTATTGCTGATTTGACAAAATGCAAAGAAGATACCAATATGAAATTTCTTAAGACAGCTACAGTACTCAATTTAAGTTCAACAATCTAAAGCAACTTCAAAAATCTAAGAGTATGTGTACACGACCAAGTTGTTGACAAAACTTATTCTGACACCCAGAAGTTGATAAAACAGAAATCGTCCGAGGGTGTTCATACTTGTTCTCTCTGTCAGAAGATCATGGGACTATATTCCACAGCTCTGCCTTCCCACAACACTGAACTATTCCCTGCGCTTCTTGGGATTCCCTGAAAGTGTTCTCAGCATTCTCAGCTGCTGGGAGCAGTATCAGGAGTAGCTCTGTGAGCTCTCCATGCTGAGGAACGTCAAAGCAGCACAGCGTCTGTCCCCTCCTCCTGCAGCAGCAGTCTTCCTGATGCTGTGTTTCTAGTGCAGGGCAAAATAGGCGCATTCCAATGTTTTGTTGGTTTGTCCCCCAAAAGGAGCAGCTCACTCAGCTGCCAGATACTTCCGGGAGTTTTGAAAAGGGAGGGGCGCATGCCTGCTGGGCAGCAGAGGTCCAACACTGAGCATAGCCAGTGCAGACATTGAGGGAAACTAGCAGTAAACAGTTCTGTGGACAAAACCAGCAGAGTCTATACTGAGTCTGTCCACAATAAAGGGGAGGGGAAAGACTTGATAGTGTAGACAAAGCCTCAGAGCAACACTCACTCCAAAGTAGAAACTATAGAACCAGAACCACCAAAAAAATCAGCCTTCTGTTGGTGGCATCCGACTCAAATGATGAAGTGGCACAGAAATGTTCAACACCTGCTACAATAGTTAGGTTAACTGTAAAATGCTTTTCATCGTTTTACAGTGCAAATATTTATAATCAAATATAAACACTGTACACTGCATTTTGTGCTGAAACTGAAATCAATAGATTTGAAAATGTAGAAAACATCAAAAATATTTAATTTGCATTCTATTATAGTTTAACAGTGGGATTAAAACGGCGATTAATCGTGACATTTAATCTCACAATTAATTGCAATTAGTTTTTAACAATGACAGCCCTAAAAAGGATTAAACAAGGATTATATTAATGAAATGTTATACCTGAAATATTAACATTAATTGAATTTCTTAACTCTAATATAAGCAATCCGAACCTTCTTCCTTTGAATGTATGTGTAACATCACCACAAAATCTAGGCAATGAGACATATTATTTAACAAATGAGATTCAACAGAAAGCAAACTCTTTGTTCTAAACTGTTCCTTCAGTAAGATTTAAGTAAACTCTGTACTGTTGAATTTAAACCATGATTCATGTAGTTTTAATTGCTTATAGACAGTACTGATATTATGGTACTCTTACTGAATGATCATGTAATACATTATTGCAATTTTTATTCAAAAGACAGAGTTGAAATAATTACCCACTTTAGAACTATGACATTTTCTGAATTGTATAATTAAAATCAACTTTAATTTTGCATTAACGTGTTTCTTCTCTCTTTCGATACTGTACACTCTTAAGGCAAAATATGTTCTCTTCTACTGTAATGTCCACTCTAATGTGTTTTAACTATACCTGCAATCTTTATGGCTACAGGATCCTCAGAAACTGGAACAGGCCCCTCTTTGACTTCAACCTGTTTTTCAGGGACCAGAGCAGATGTGGTGGGAGGGGCACACTTAGTCTCAACATAAGCCACAGATGTGGAAGCAGAGGGTTTGGAATTGTGAAAAAGACTAGCCCACGATTTTGCAGGCTGATTAACAAGGACTGATCCTGAAACTGGGGCCGTTGCCTCAGTCGTAGGTGAAACATCCTCGGGCTTAACTTGGTCTGAGTCAGTGCTTTCCATAGTGTGCAATTCTACCCCATTGGCAGCTGTGCCCTCAGAGGATTCAAGTGTTTGTCCATTAGTAACACTAAGATTTTCAGTAGTATCAGTACCATCATAAGGTTCTACAACAGCTGTCCTTAAAGGGCTACCTCTGCCAGCCTCTGAAGGGATGCAAAATTGTTCAGAATTGGTAACACTGCATACCTCAGGCTGCCCTGCAGTCCTGGCATTCTCTAATACACTAGAAACAGAATCATCAGACACAGCTTCACTAACGAAGTCCACAGAATTTTCAGGGCTGTTACAAGTCCTTGGTGTGGCTGATGATGGTATGTCTCCTGCAAGTTCCGTATCTTCTGTGCTTAAACTATTCAGTCCTGATGAATTTGCATGGCCATTTACAAGAGCCTCCGTAGGAACAATGCCATCACTGACATCTTCCAAATAACTGTAGTATCCAGGTGGTCTTTTTTTCTTCTTTTTACGCTCCCGTTGCCCAAGGCCCCCAGATAAGCTATCATTTTCAGCATTAGATCCATTATCCAAAGCAAGGGCAGGATCAGTGAACTGGCAGTCTATGGAGTTGTAGTTAGTTTCATTAAGCATGTCATCATGGGTTTTCTGAGTTTGTGCACAGCCAAGAATAAATTCTGGAGCCTGAGGATTCAGAGTGCTTGAAATACTGTAGTTAGTGTTATTCAGCACAGATGACTCTGTCTCAATAACTTCATTAACACCAAATTCAATTCTCCTATACTCCTCCCCTGAACAAAAGAAAGTTAAAAACCTCTGTTAGTAAAGTCGAGTCACAAAGATACAACACTGGTAACAGACAAGTCCGCTATCCAGAAACTTAAGTACTATAAACAACATTTTTCATATAAAGAAAAATCATCCATGTCCACTGTATCTTGAAAAAGGATGGCTTTTAAAGATTTTTAAACGAAATGATGATACAAAAAGTTTTCCTGCAACAATGAATAGGACTTCAGATTAGGAAAATACAGACACTGATCCTGAAATAATCACAGATGTACCCTTTCAGCCGTATGAAGTCTCATTGACTTCAGTGGTAGTCTGCTGGGGTTCAACTGCACGATGAGGAACAGAGTGTAATGAAAAGAACCATCTTTTTCATACTACTGCACATCTTAAGGTCATATTTCTAGGACAGTTAAGTCTACAAACAATTTTTTCCACGTAAAATAATTTCACCTTTGTAGCTAGTAAGATTTTTTAAATTAAGAATATTTAAGACATAAATCACAAATGACAGTGATATTTTACATTCTAATCAACTGGAAATGCTAGAATTTTAGGTTTTGGAAATCTTGAATTATCAGCAGTTTAAGAATGAAAATATGATATACATTCTGTGTGTCATAAGAAATACAACTAATATGACTAGATCAAAGCCAGAGATTACTTTTTAAATATAAATTGATTGACAGTGAGAATACTAACAAGGTGAAATTATATACATCTTAATCAACAGATTATCAATCTAGTAACATACCACATGTCTCAGGCTGCCCTGACACTTGAAGTATATAACGGTCACATATATGTTTATGAATACCAAATAGTGGTGTCATGTAATTAAGAAATCAAGATTACTGGATTCATGATAATTTTTGAATTTCAGTAGTTCCCAGGACAAATTTTCATAAATATTTAATCAGAAAACAATTTTCTGTGATTATCTATGGTACATACATTACTGCTTCCATGAGCTTGAAAACATGTTTTCTGTTTTGCAAAAGGGAAAAAAAAAGTGTTGCTAGCAAGATTATCTTTTTCCTATAGTATTCCAGTTCAAACAACACTGGTCACAAATTCAGAATAAATATAATATGATGCACTAACCTCTACATCTATAGCTTAATCTAGTTTACCTATATAATTGCTAACAGAATAATGCTATTTTGTGCAACTTGTTTGTGCACACAGTTTCAAGAGATCCATGTTAATGAGTGTATCTGTGCCATAAGCACTAGTTTTTATGGAATGGAGCTGATGTCAAACACAATATTTTGATATTTTAGAAATAATTTTGTGTTTTTCTTAAAACCTGTTGAAATTTTGTCTATTTAAAACTTATTAAAATTTGAAACCACTCAAGCATAGGATTTTTCCTAAATTATTTGAAAAAATTGCTTTTGGACTAAGACTTGGTATGACATATAGTCTGGAGCAAAACTGCACATGTTAGCTATTAATCCCATAAACTAGAGGATTATTAGCAGAGGAATTTAAGTCTATTACCTAGAGCCAAACAGCAATAAGAAAAAGTACTTACTTTACGATTATTGTAAAGTGAATAAAATCAATCAAAAAGGAGTTAAGACTTACTCCTTCCTTAAATCAAATCCCTGAAATGCTTCTTACTTACAAAAACTGCAAAGGTTGGGTCATAACACTCATTTCCTCACTGCCACTAGTTTTTGACAGAATCTCATTGGTTTTATTTAGTGCCTTTTTGAAGAAAAATATTAAAGAGACCAACTTTCTTTTATGGTTATTTTTGTACCTTCCACTTTGCTTCCAGTCACCTTTGTTTCAATCCATTCCGTGGTGTATCGAGGATCTATTGTTGCATGGATTGAAATGGATGAACCTAAAGGTATGAAGAATACTGCACATTGACAAGATACCCTTTGAAGATGTTACAAAGTATCATGTCAATGCATTATAATGAAAGCTGTGAATGCGTATTAAGAATTAGTATGCACTGTGTATCATGCAGCTTTTTAGCCAAAATGCAATTATTCATAATATGCATCAACAGCTCCTCCAGTCATTCATTGTAGATATAATTACATCATAGAAATAGCAACATTTTATATTATGGTTAATATGATCAATGGGTCACCTCAATGTTATTAACAAGACTTTGCCTGAGTAAACCTTTCCATTTTAGTTCTGATTGCTTCTTATGCAGCCATAATTATGATAATATGCATACACATTACAGTGCAGGTTTGTTAAGACACTTTTTTCAGGCAAAGTATGATTTGCCATCCTTCACCAGTCTCTGGGGAGGAAGGAGGTATTTAGGGTCTGGGCAAGAAAAGCGTCTGCAAAAAACAATTTTCTGTATAGCTTGTGCTAAATCATACAAAAAGCCATCATCCCTGTTTCAAACTCATATGTTTAAAGTCAAGCAATTAATCCCATACTTAGGCCTGAAAAAAAATCACAGAATTTCAAAGGTGATAAGCACTCACAATTTCCATTGATTTTACATGGGAACTGTTGCTCAGCACCACTGAAAAGATTAGTTAGGTACCATGAATCTCTGTTCAGGTATCTAAGTATGTTCGCCAAAATCTGAAAATTATGGCCCATGACTTTTACCTGGACATGTTCATGCTTTCCCTAATGTTATCTTGTGCGTTTCTTATTTTACAAGATTTTAATGGCCATTCCAATGCTGCACTAATGATCTGCCATATTTAAACATCAAGATATTTTTTATCTAAAAGGAGGTCTGGGTTGTATTTCCAGTTTTGCCACAAGCTTCCCAAATACCTTTAGGCAAGCCTCAACTTCTCTGTAATTACTTTAAATGCTGCTGTTTTATGCCTGAGTTATCTACTTTGTAAAAGTATTGTGCAGACTATTATAAAGAACTGAGGTTCTCAGATAGAAGGTGCTACATATAAATACGAAATCTTTATGAAACCAGGAATGCTCTTCCATTTTAAGGTGTGGGAAAACAGTATGCATGTCAGCGAGGGGAGGAGAGGGAAGAGAGACATTTTAAGGTGTGGGAAAACAGTATGCATGTCAGTGAGGGGAGGAGAGGGAAGAGAGACCATTAATGCTTTAAATCAGAGCTCTGTAATACATTTGTACATTGTCATATTTGTACATTGTCATATTTCCTCTGTCCAAAAAAGGACTTTCCAGGAAAACAGCTGAGCTACTCAGAGACAGAATGTCATGCTGAACACTGAGCAGAACAATGCTCTGAAAGTTATCTTCAGCTGCAAGTGCCAAAAAATACTGTGCTGAAACATTTACAGAGGAGGCAGTCAAAATCCACAGATTGTTAGGTGCTATTCAAGCTATTATTTTAGTTGCTCCTTGATTAAGAGCTCCATACTAAGTTCTAGCCCTAAGCAATTTTTTCTACTGAACTCTAAAAGTTTCAACACAAAAGTTTTAATGGAACTTTTACAACACAAACTACTGTAAGTGGAGTAGTGCACATACTAATAGAGTTAGCTAGAAAAATATTAAAACAAGTGTCACAAATATTCTTATAAATTTCAATGAGCTAGCAAGTTGAAAAAGCAGCCTGCCAAACACATGCGCATAAACATGCTAATCAACCTGAACTGGACTAATTTAAAGTCAATCTGTACTACAATAGAACATAATGGGGAAAGCCTCACAACCTGAAAAAAAAGCCTGAAAAAAACAAGAATAATTTCTTACCATCATGAAGCTCACCTGTGGATTTAATACCACAAGAAACTGTATCATTGTACGGAGGAAGCTGTAAAGAAAAAAAATATTATTACTGATAAGCAAAACAGCTCTTTAAAAGTAACATTTTCTATTATTAGGGATATTCTATTAACTAGGGATGTGAAAGTGTATCCCTATAAACAGTTAAGTTCACAGTTAGGCAGGCTCCCGGACATGCTGGCCGAGCAAAAAAAACTTGGCTCCCTCCATGCACCAGCTCCTGGGGAGCAGACTACCGCTGAAATATTCAAGTTGTTACGCAGTTACTTATGTACACGCATTTTAACATCCCTAATGTTAACTTAATTAGAAGTAGCTTGATCATTTAAAAATAACTGAATATTCATCCTTTGTATCCAATTTCCAAAATAATGTCTTGAACTTATATTTCTGTATCTATATTCTAATTCTTACACCAGTGGTCTCCAACCTTTTTACACCCGAGATCACTTCTTAAATGACAGACCAAGCCAAGATCTACCGCCCTGCCCCTTCCTTGAAGCCCCGCCCTCTTTTCTCCTCCTCTCCATCGATTGCTATCCCCAATCTTTATACTGCTGCTTTTTTTAAAAGGTTTTTCCAACATTTGGAAGAGGTTTTTCAACATTTGGAAGTGCTCAGCCAGGGTGCACCACGCTCCACGTGGGCTGGTGCAGAGCAACACGCCACGCTCCAGCTGATCGGGCGGCATCCTCTCTGTGCCTGCCCACGTGGAGCTTGGTGCACCCTGGCTGAGTGCCATGACCAGCTGGCCGGGAAGCTGCTTCTCTTCGCTCCCGTCCAGCTGCCCTGCGCTCAGCCCGGGAAGCTTGCTCCAGCACAGCTGGAGCTAGACGCAGCCTCCCTGGGCTGAGCACAGGGCAGCTGAGTGGGAGCAAAGAGAAGTGA